TTCCTTTTTTTTTTTTTTTTTTTAGTACTGGGGATTGAGCTTGGGTCCCTGCCCTTGCAAGGCAGGCAGTGGAACCACTGAACTAAATCCCCGGCCCTTCTTAATTTGCATTTATTCTATCCTTGGAGAAAAAGAAGGAGATTGTAGCATTTACATACTTCATTCTGAAGTCAGAAATGGTTGAGGTTTGAATTCTCACCAATATTCTGTACTTGATGTTGACTTTTGTAAAATGCAAATAACTCAACCATGTTCAATGTTATTTTTCTTTTTTGTTCTTTTAGTGAGGATTGACTGGTTTCTGTGCATAATTTTCTAGCATAGCACGTGAATAAGAGCAAAACTTTATTTATTCACTGTCAAATACTTTTGGAATCTAATCTTCTATCCTACACTAGCAGAAGGAGACACTATGATTAAGAGGGAAAAAAATCACAGAAAAGGTCCTTGACATTATGGAATATTCATTCTGCTGGAGAAAAAAGTGGAGAGTGTGTTTTAAATTACATTGACTTACTATATTGACTATATATTGCTGTATAACACTCTAGAGTATATAGCATGAAACTGGAGCTATATCATATGGTGATAAAGTTCATTAAGAAAAATAAAAGCTTAAAGCAATAGAGACAACAGTGATGGTTAAAATACACAGGCAACATTACAGAACAGTCATGAATGAAACCTTTCCTCTTGAAAATGACATTTCAGCAGAGTCCAGAAGCAAGTGAGTGTCAGGATACACAAACAACGCTATGGCATTAGAGACGAATACAAACGAAGCACAGCTCTCCTGGTGGCGTTAGCCCTTGCTGTTCAGGAACATCATGGGAGCCAGTACAGTGTGAGCGGATTGACTGAGGGGGAAGATAAAAGAAAACAAGATCAGAGAGATAGAGTCCACCGGAGCAGTAGTTTATGATGCAGGGTAGGGACTGTAGAGTTTGATTCCTCAAATCATGCAGAGAAAGCTGTTAAAGGCAGAGGAGGTGATCAACTGTCTTATTTTAGGTCAATTCTGCTGA